ATCTCACTTGGATAAAAGAGAGTGCATGCGCCAAGGGAGATGGCGCCTAGGGAAAATGGGTCAGTGCATGCGCCATCTCAATTGGCTCCTCCTTTATGGGGTTTTCTGAAACATGGTTGTTTGCGTAATTTTCTCCGAAACATGGTTATTTGCGGGAAAATTTTCAATACCTAGTTATTGCAAAAAAAAATTCACAAAATTAAGTATAGAAAGTGAAAAGAACAAAAGTAAACACATTTGAAAAAAAATTCAAAATAAAAAATAGACCCCTAAAAATAATCATAAACGATAAAATACGGACACTCAATTAATTTTAAAAAAAGCAAATGAACACATTAAAATTAATTATATATTTCAAAAATTAATAAAAAATTACTCAAATAATCAAAATCAAAATAAATAAAAAAAGTAAGAATATCAGGTTGAACAAACACCGACGATTAAGAAAGAGATTGTAAACTGCACTGAAAAATAAAGCGAGAATATCGACATGATCTACGTGAAACATAAATTCATAAAACAGTCAGTAAAAGATGAAAACTTGAAATATTTTCTCGCTAATTTTTCACTCAGTGTCGAATCATTTTTAACCGTGTATCTGTAAAACTGAAATATCAATATCATCGACATATAAACAACTTGGTGCATTGTAAAAAGCACGTAAAGAGATAAGAATGCATGAAATGAGATTATGGATATTTTTCAACTATAAAACGATGCAAATGTTGATTTAAGTTGACTTTTGGTCAACCTAAATACGACTAATGATGTAAAATGTGATGAATGAAGACGTTTATTGAAGATTATAATCAAATAACAAAATATGATATGATAATGCGATTAAAAATTTTAGGGTGCAACACTAAAGACTCGCCATCGACAACCATGACGTGTAAAACTGATAGTCAAGGAAGGGGAATCCATTGTTACTCCTGAAAGTATAAGTAGTCAATAACTCCCCCTATTCAAGGGGAAGTAGTTATCACCACCTAGAGTTACCTAAATCCTATGCCTAAAAGGTCTCTATAAATATTCATCCACTCAATGGGAGAAAAGACAAATCATTACACCTCCAAAACCATAGTGCTTAGCTCACATTAATCATACCCTCATAAACTTATACCTAGGCGTATCATTCATCAACATGGTCATTCACCTCACGTGAGCAGGACCCCTAAATCAGCGTAAAACACCACCATACATGGCTTCTCACTACCTTGGACAAGCCATAACCACCATTCAGTGTTACATACCTACGAAGGTCTTTGAGCCTCCTTGCCCTTGTAGAAAAAAGACGTACGCGTGTACTTTTTGACGAGTACAAATCCTCTAAGTCAGTAAAATATCTGAAGTAAAACGCATCCACATGATAAGCACTCTTGTCCATATATATATATATATATATATATATATATATATATATATATATATATATATATATATATATATATATATATATATATATATATATATATATATATATATATATATATATATATATATATATATATATATATATATATATATATATATATATATATATATATATGTGTGTGTGTGTGTGTTGAGAGCTAAAAAAATTGAATAATGGAGGCGATATTCACATAAATTTATAATTACTTTTAATTTTCTTATTTGTTTAAATTAAAATAAAATAAATGTTTGAAATATTTTATTAATTATAATACTATACTTTATATTTGAAAATAATAAATAAATATGTAAAATTTATTTACAAAATTTTATACAAACATATTTTAAAAAATAAACTAAGTAAAGAAAAATAAAATAGGAAAATATATGTTATTAATGGTATGTTTTTTTAGAGCTAAATCAATAAAAATAAAGAAACGGATGGAGATATAGATGACCTATATATATATATATATATATATATATATATATATATATATATATATATATATATATATATATATATATATATATATATATATATATATATATATATATATATATATATATATATATATATATATATATATATATATATATATATATATATATATATATATATATATATGTTGAGTTATGCATTAGAGACTAATGGTATAGAATGAAGTGGAGGCAGATGCCTACAGCACCATAAACGTGGCTCAGTTCTTGCATGTCAACCAAGTACAATATGTATGTCCTTAATGTATATATTCTATGCTTCATAACATGTTTTTGTCATCACCATTGGCTTGTTCTTCTGTAGTTAGCTAGTGTGCGTACAGTCTCTCCAGGTATCCAAATTTAGCATGATAGCCTTGGGTATCTTCTATCTCCTTCATGGCATCACTTGGGTCAGCTCCTAAATACTTTATCATTATCTCCGATGCATCATCTCTGGAAATCTTGGAGTGCTATAATAATATTTCCTTAATTGAAAGATGCAGTCGGCATGACACATCGTCATTTGTGATGGACATCTCACCATGTAGAAGATAAAAAGATGACACTCAAAATGTCATCTCTCAACCAGCATACCATGGTTAATAGTAGAATAATCAGTCATACATAAATTTTGCATCCCAAATAAGTGTATCGCATCATGAAACCAATGTTTATCAATTTGTTGTACCCTCACAATCTTCCGATCATGGTTGATGCATTTTAAAGTATCACACTTTTGTAGAAAAATAAATTATTGTCAAAAAGTTTGAATATCATAACACATTTATTTCAAAGAATAAATACAAATAAAATTTACCTCTCTATCTCACACATGCCTAACAGCATGGTCCATATATAGAGACAATAATGATAGCCATACAGGACTCCTCCAAACTTCTCGAGAAACTGCATTGGCATCATGTGCATCAACCTGGGATGCCTCAACTTGGAGGGGTGGGGCTTTCATGACATCATGAGGTGAAACCTGCCTCCTTCGGGAAGACGAAGTCGGAGATGCTCGGACTTTGGAAGTTGACAGCTTTGCATCAACCGAACTAGAACTGATCGGTGGTTGCGATGGTCGAGCTCTTTCCCTACAAACTGATGCATCCTACAACACTCTGATGTGCCTCATTCGATCTTGATTATCAATCATGTTGTCTATAATGAACGACACAATCAATACAAAGAAAAATAAAACCCAGGTAAAACACAATAGAAATAAAGTCAAACAATAACGACTTGCCAAATAAGAAAATGCGTTTCTAAATTTATGAAAAATCAAATTTTAAATAAATATTGAAGTGCATTTTCGTATTAACTTGCATTTTAGAAAACACGAAAATAATATAAATGCATGAAAATTCAACATCCTCAAAACGCATTGCTCATTTACACTACCTATCAAACACATTGCTCGATTAAATAACCTATCTAAACTACCTACTGCACAATCTAATGCTCAATTTCTACAAATGTGTGTATATAAAAATTAGGGGCTTTCAAATTCAAACTGATCCAAATTAAACCCGCAAATCAGTCCAAATAAAAATCACAAACTGCAAAAAAAAAAATATTATTGAATGTGTTTGGATGTCATTTTATAAAAACAACTCGGTTATGATCAGATTTCAGATTGATTTCTCAATACCAATCCAAACTGAACCCCACATGTATATATATTTTTATACTTATTTATTACTTATTTATTTTTATTAATATGATATGTTGTCTAAACTTATTATTCGACGATACTTATTATTTTAAAATATTCTTTATTAGTTTAGTTTAATCTATTTATTTTTATTATTTTATTTGTTTCAACCATCATTCTCATTTATTATTAATTTTTTGATATACTATATATTATATATTATATTAGATCTATTATTTATTAATATTTTTATAATCGTAATAAAAATTATAATATGTAATTTAAATATTCAAAAAATTGATTTAAATTAAATAGCGTGAAATTAAATCAGATTGAATCATAATTTATTAATTAATTATTTAAAATCAAATCGAATCATGAATATATTTATCTTTAGAACGAATGAATTTTAATATGCAAACCGCCTATAAATATCCCTAATAAAAGTTAAATGTATAGAAAAATAAAAAAACAATAAATGTTAAATAAATATTGAACACTTTGATTGATTAGATGTTGAAAATAGAAACTTTAAAGTGTTGAGAGAATTTAAGAGAACTTATGAGTTTAAGTGAGAAATGAAGAAGAGTAGTCTAACTTTTAATTAAACATCCATGTGAATGAATATTTCCATATATTATACATGTATTTTCCTTTTCTTTTCTTTTTTTTTGACATAAAATTAAATTTTAAGTCACTAATAAATAAATTGTGTATGACTAGACTGCATCCAAAAATATTTTTTCATATTTCAGAAATAATTTTAAATTTTCATATTTCAGAAGTAACCACCGAAAGATGTGAAAGCATCGCTTTTTTTTTACTCATGTGCCAGACAATATCTCGTAGGAGCAAGAACTTACATTATTTTATAATAAATCGTACATCAAGTACTAGCTGCAAAAAAAATTAAATACTATTATTCATTTGAATTTTATAGTATACTTGCATAATAGTTTATTGAGAAAATAGTTGATACACTGCCATGCATAGTAGTTTATTGAGAAGATGGTTGATACACTGAGAATACTTGTTTTCTATTAGGTGATAGTGTCAACCAATCAAAAAACACATTTAAAATCCATTGAAGAACTAGATTGACTACTAAATTGAGGTGGCTACTAAGTGTTTCCAGCAAAGCTACTTTTATAAATAATACACATCAATTTTGAAAAAGAATACAAAACTTGACGAGTAAATATCATAGCTATAAACTTGTAATCTTTGGTCGCAGTATCAATAAACAAAACAGTGAATTTCCTACCAATACTGACACTAACTATAATTTTATAGGAAAAAAACAGTCAACCATAAAGAGCATTCTAACTACTTTAATTTGCCAGCACAGTTTGGTGCAAATAGCACCACTCATTTGTCAGGGTTGACTCTGAACTTAACATTGTTAGCTATGCAGCTTCCATAAGTACTTCTGTGAAATATGACATGGGTCTTAACCTGCAAAGATCCAGGGAGATTCAAGATAAGAAGCTACAATGTTATATTTTTGAAACATTCTATATACTATAGTCCCTCCAGTCACTTATAAGCAAAAAAATGATCTTAAATCTTGGTCACTATTATAAGTAAAAAGTCATTAACTTTTAGAATAATTAATGCTTGTATTACTATTATATCCTTAATTTAATTCAAATGCATTTTATGTTGATGGTTGATTCATCAAATATAACTAAGGATATTATAGTAAATTTTATTTTGATTGTACATGAAATCAAGAAAATTAATTACACTTAACTAACTTTCTTAATCTGTGTAAAAATAGTTATTTTGACTTATAATTGTGATCGGCAGATGTTCCAAGCTAAACTTATTCAACCGTTTGTAGCCACATCATTATCCAAACATAAAAGGAGTTGTACTCTGACGACCAACAATGATAGAATATGTACGCAGACAAACCTAGCAAAAATGACCCTCCCACCCTTGTGTTAAAACGAAACACAAAAGTCATGTTCACGCAATAGAGTGACTGCATTTAAGAATTCAGAATAGAACAGCCTTGGAAATAGCAGTTGCTTTATTTTCTTTACAAAATATGGTTGATAACCAAAAGAAATTAACATGTGACAAATTTAACAGAATGAGATTAATGCGGTGTTTCTTATGTTCAATAAAAAAGGGTATATAAAGAAACTACCGTTAACTTGTCCAGAAATTGCATTATCTGGCTTCTTTTCTGACTTTAACTTCTTTTCCGACCTTTTTACTGCCTCAGCTGAAACCATAAAAGTTTGTTTATTAATAATGGAACATGAATGAAGAGATCTTGTCTGTGTGGTATGAAGAAAATGCTGGGTAATATTCCTCATATAATTAGCATAAATACGCAATGCAACTTTGCATAAAGACATGTCTGGAAGTATTGAAGACCATAATCAATATGTCGCCGTCTAACCAGTCGTACCTTTAAATTTTCTTTTCTTATTAGATCTCCTCCTTTTCCTTTCTGCCTGTGTGAGTTCTGCTTCTTCTTTAACATCACCCTTACCATCAAAAACCTCCTCAGGGGCTAGCATAGCAGCATCTGAAACAGCCGCAGGAGCAATCTACACATAGAAAGTAAAGTGCATTGTAAGTAACTGTAAAGTAGATGCAGAAACATAATTTTGAGAAAAGAATAGCTTTTTACCTCTTCCATTGCCAGAGCAGGTACATTTGTTTGAAAAGACATGTCCTCTATAATCTGTGAAATTCATTCAAGGAAAATAAAAAAACAGGAAAATTTAAATGTTCTAGCATATTGTCTCTTAAGAGAAAATAGTTATGTTAATGTCATACAGGTTTTGGAGCAAAGTTGAAATGAGAAAGGGCGTCCAGTTTCAGACAGATCTTCTTAAAGAGAATGCTTGCCTGATCACAAGTAAAAGCACAATATTTAATTGCGTAGCAAAATTCAAAAACGGTAACTACACAACCTGATTAAGAGTCACTCCAAGGATACTGTGAGTACATGAGAAATAAAACACAACCAAAAGATGAAGAGATTAAATAATGGTAGAAATGAAATAAAGTAATGAAGGGTTGCACCTCATTTTTTAGTTTATCGTTGGCTGACAATGGAGCAGAAGTGGGGTCAATCTTCTGAACATATTCTTGCTGTAAAATTTTAGAAAAATAAAATGGAAAAACAAAAAAACATGAGGAAAATCACAAAAATAAAATAACAAAATGTATGATGAGGAATTGGAGGTCAAATACAATTTCCTGTGTTGAACATAGTCAAGAAATACGGACCTCATAAATCTCTGCAAGACCCTGCTTGCTTTTATTGTCATCCTGCATTACATGGCAATTATTTGCACAAATTAGTAACATAAAATATAGCTAGTGAGTTGAACTTCAAATTCTATTTATTCAGTTAAACAAGGCTTACCAGTTCTTTAACTGCCCGAGGCGCTTTCGATGACAATTTAGGAGCTCTTTGGATATCATCAAATCTCCCCTAAAGAAACGCGTAGAAAGAAACATGTACATAAATAAGAAACAACAGATAGTGTGTTCTTTGTTTGTGCATGTTTGCACGGTCTCTTGCATAATTGGTAGTAATGCTATTAATTATATTAACACATAGTGTGTTCATTGTTTGTGCATGTTTGCACGGGTCTCTTGCATAACTTGATAGTAGTGATATAATTATATTAACACCCTGATAGTAAGAAGAAATAAATATTATGTTTGCCTATAAATTGAAAGGGGGTTAGTGAATGAGCATCTTGATAATTGAGTGATTTAGGGCCTTTTGACTTTGGGAGGTCGGCAAACCCGTCAAAGAACTGCCATTGTTCTCTTCTCTCATTTCCAACAACATTAAACCGCATACTATCATTGGTGTCACAGCTCCTTTGAATACAAAAATGAGGGATCCACTACTTATTCTTGATGAGCTCATCATGAAAGATTAGAGAATGAAGAAGAAGATGCTTGTGGATAGTTAGTTATTCAAGGTTGACGAATATTTCAACGCATAAGGCATATGTGAAGAAGAGCATATACCAGAAGTTGTGCAGGAGATGAGTGAGCAAACCCTCCAAGATATCAAATATGGAGGGTTAGATTTTAATCAGACCCTTCAAGAGCTGTCATTGTTTTGGTAATCTAAGGGAATTTTACCCATTTTCTAGTGATAGGACACAGATTCTACTGACACACCCAATTTTGTATAGAAATGGAAATTTTACATGATGTGTATAGTTTCCACCCTTGTGTAAATAACAAGGGTAACACAATGCATGGTGGTAGAAGTCTAAATTATGTCATCATGGAACAATAATTTACCTCAATAATCCTTTTCTTGACCATTTCCTCAATTGAAGAATTAATGTCTTCAGTGATTACAGGAGGAGGTCTCACGTTATGCTGAAAGTCAATATCAACTTCCAAAGCACTATTCACAGGTCTCTTTGCAGCAGTTACCTGTTATAAAATCAATAATAGAAGAATATAATAACTGATTAACAGAAATGTTCTACATATGCAACATATAGAAGGACGGACACAAAAATAAGGGAATGTGATATTACCTCCCCTAGCATAGTCCAATTTTTTGGCTCTATGTTAGCTTTCTCCATCAGCTTTATGTTTGATTGAATTTTTTCCAGCTGCTTTTCATGGGTAGAAGCAGTCCTTATCTTCTACATACACAAGTAAAATAACATAACATGAAAATTTAGTTTTAAAAATAAACATCTTCACATCACAATCATGTGTGTGTATAAACACCGAGATACACACGAGATACCTGTTTGTCAGATTCCGTGTCATCTTCAACATCAAAATCTTCAATTTTTTCAAGCAAATGTTCTTTTCCTTTTGAGCCCTTTTCTTTTTTATTCTCAAGCAATTGTCCGTTTCTTTTTGAGTCCCTTTCTTTTTTATTATCAAGCAATTGTTCTTTTCTTTTTGAGCCCTTTTCTTTTTTACCTCCAAAGAAGTCATCGTACCTGAAAGCAGCAAATGAAAAAATAAACATGAATAATACATAAGCAAATATTCCCCACAGGACAAATCATACAGAATAAATAAATAGTAGTAAAATAAATACCGTTAAGCTTAAAGAAAGAGGAAATACCACTTAAATACAGCACTCAAGAAAAAAGAAGCTATAAAAGAAATTCAAAACCAGAGGAAAAATAATAACAATATACACACTATCACAAGCTCTTTGGTTTCTACAAAGCTTGGACATTAAAAGTAAATGGCAAACAGTTCCAACTTGATTTCCTTCAGTTTACAAGCTGCAATTGAGATTAATTAATTACAATAATAAAGACAAAAGTCTTTCATCAGAGTGGTACCAGCTACATCGATCAAACTGATGATATTGTTATAAAATATTAATAAGGTTTAAGTAAATTTTAACGCTCAACATTAGTGAGTGGTGACTTATCAGCTTGTATCACTGTTCAAACATCAAACATAAAAGAAAGAAGGGATTTTGTTGTATTTGAAAGTCTGTTAGGTACATTCAATATTAGTTTAAACGCCATAAATATTCTTTATTCCTTAACTTGATAATTACTTCACTCATCATTCTATTTTCTTGATTTTTTGGGGTCAGCTGATGGATCCTGTGACAGTGGAGGATAGCTTCCAATTTCATTGGCTGCTGACTCCCGACTAATTAGACTAGTTAAAGTTAGCTCTGAAAGCAATGTTACACGGAAGATAGAAGACGATAAATCTTACACCAGTTTATGGTAATTTGAGTCATTGAGTTTGTTAACTATAATGGACTAGTGTTGTCGTAACTATAACCCTCGGCGCTTCGGGTTCTGCTCCAAACATATTTGAGACTAGAGTACCTTAAGAAATAGACACTTTCAAATTCCAACTAGATCAACTTATAGCATGTTGTGTAAGTTTTATTCCAAGCAAGCTGAGAAAAAAAACACATTGGCATTTTACATTGCCATGACACCAAATGGACATTCTATCAAAAACAACCACATGGATAGCTTTCAACATTTTTAAAGGCATATATAGGTAGTTAAACTGGAGTGAAGCAGTTTAAAGCATTTGCATGCTTGAAATCAACATTCAAATATATTTTTTGTTCATTTGTGGGAAACTAAATATATAAATACCTTGCATATGCGGCTTCTGATTCTACATCTTCTACATTTTCTTCATCATTATCATCCTCATCCTCATCTTCATCAATCTCAAACTCACCAGCCTATATAAATATAATGAAAGTGTCTCAAAACCAATTAACCAGAAATATGGAAATAACAACTTAACTAGCACTGAACAAAAAAAACAGTGTCCAATAACAACCAAACAAAGAGCAGTCAATTTTACCTTCTCAAGGTCATCATCTTCTTCACTGTCTTGATCTCCCTCCTCACCCTTCTCGAAATTATCTTCCTCTTTCTGTAAATAATCATTCAATTCATCTATTTTCAGAAATTTATCTCCAATCCCACCACCTTCACCTTTCTCTTCATCATCATCCTCGTCCTCGTCCTCGTCCTCTTCTCCTTCAGTTCCTTCAAAATCATCCTCGTCTTCATCAGCTTCATCCAATTCCTCATCAAAACCGTCAATCTCTTCTCCCCACTCGCCTTGCTCCTTTGGCTCCGCCTTTTTAGCAACCTTCAGCTGCGCAATTTCTTCAGGGTTTTTGACCAGCTGATTCAACCGGCGGCGAAGAGTGGACAATAGCGGCTGTGATTGGAGATCAATTTGATGCCAAATCTGCTCAGCATCGTAGCCGTTGACGAGGAGTTGGTCCAGTGGCGATTTTGGGGAGAAGGGTTTGAGGGAGGAGAATAGGTGTTTCGATGCAGCACGAGCAGTTTCGGATAGCTTTGGGCTCGGTACAAGCAACGAAGGCGGGTCTACTTCTTTCAGGCGCCGTAAGGCTTCCACGCCGGCATCCCCCGTCCTCGCCATGAATGGGTTCTATATCTCTCTCCCTTTCAGGTATAAGTTGAATTAGGGTTTAGTTCGTTCAAACTCTATCTTTTTTCTTATTTTTAGTACCCGTAAAATCTGATTATTTTTTTTTCAAATAACTACATTTTTCAAAAAAAAATTCTTAAATAATCATATTTTCAAAAATTTTATCAAATTAACTATTTTTCAAATAAAAAAAAACTCGTCACACAGAGGAGTGACCACTCTATGTGGCGCATACATGCTATTTAGAGAGGAGGCGCCACACTGCATGGCTTGTCCTCCTCTATAAAGTCATGCAGTGTGGCGCATGTATGTAATGGCAGAGAGAAGACGTCATCTATTGTGGTTTGACAGTTGTATTTATTAATTTTTTTAAATAAAAATAAAAGTATGACTCATCCCTTGCCTCACCCTTGTCTCACTCTTCTCTGTTGATTTTCCTGACGTGTTTGAGGGCCTGCTCTGACTCGCTTGATTATGAGGCGCGTGATGTGATGGTCCTGGTACATCATGATCATACATCTCATCGATTAGTTCGCCCCACTGTGTTGTGCTTCCAAAGAGATCGGTGTCCATGTTGTTGAAGTTTGATCTTGTTGGTTGGGATATGTGTAGGTGGGGTGGTTGATAGTATTGGGATGTTGAATCGTGATAGAAACGAAGCAACGGTTCTTGTGGTGTATGAAATTCGTATGATGGTTGGGTACTTCGATGGTGTGATTTTTGATTGTATGTAAGTTGGGTGGTATGGTAGGAAGGAGATGTATCATATGTATCTTGGGTGTTATGGTAGGATGAGGATGGTGCATATTGTTGGTGATGGGTCGGGTCATGCTCTTGGTATTGTGTTTGTATGTGTGGCATGAATTGATGTCAGGTTTGGTTGAATGAGGTGGTGTATGGTTGTTGGGTTTGAGTCGGTTGACATTGTGGTTGGGTTTGGTATTGTTGAGGGGTTGGTTGTTGGGGTTATTGTTGGGCGTATGTTGCAGCTCTTTGACGTGGGTCGATCAAATATGTCTCTTGAGACAGAAAGAAATTTGTTGAAATCAATGTGTATCATCTCAAATATTACAGAGTCGGTTTTAAGTCATCTTGCAAGATCGGCTCCCTTAGGACCAATTCACGTCGATGCCTCCATTGACGATATTGATTTTTAGCGAAGTCTCTCAAATCGGTAAATCCCTATTGGTCGCCAACTCTGAGTAGATGCTGTTGTACCCCAAAATTTGCCCTCCCATATTCTTCAAAGTTTTGACAAGCATCACCCCAAATTGTTCAAAGTCTACTCAAGGGCTACACAGTCAACCATCCTCCTAAACCAGTCAAATTAGGGTTTTGGTTCTTGCAAGGAAGTTGAGGTTTTCAATGGCTCAGTCAAGTCCCACATGCTCATATACATTGTCAAGCACCTACATGTCAAGTTTCAAGGCTCACAAGGTCAAGTTGCACAGTCAAAAGTCTCATTTGCTCAACAGTCAACTGTAGGGGAAAAATGGTCATTTGAAAGTCAAAAGTCAAAATTTTTGGTCAACATCTTATTTTGAAGCCACAATCATCATTTGATTAATTCTTGATCATGATTTCACAAGAATGGCTCAAAAATCATCAAGGTGTCAAAAGTTTCTATTTTTGGACAGCTGAAAAGTCAACTGTAACTTGACCAAGGCATAACTTTTTCATGGTTCATCAGAAAAATCTCATCCAATGCTCATCTTGAAGGGGAAGACATTTCCTACAATTCATCTTCACATTCCAAGTCCAATAAATACTCTCACAAAAAGTTATCAATTTCAATATTATAGGTCATTTTCAAAAGTCAACAAAAAGGCACTTTAAGTCAAAGACCATAACTTGAGATTGGTAAATCAAAATGACATGGGACCAAAGACATTGGTTAAAGGACTTCAAGACCTTTCCAAAATGTCCAAGAACATGTCCATAGCTTTAAAATTGAGCAAGATATGCATTGGAGAAGTTGGGAAATTTTTGTGAAATGGCCAAAGTCAATTATCCTTGAAACTTCATTTTTGACAAAAGGGGCCCACTTTTTCCACTTGTTTCAGCTTGGTCATGCTTCCCACGTGTCCCACAATTTATTTCAAGATTTAAAATTAAATTTTCCATTTTTATTTAATTTTATTTGATTTAATTCATTTTAAATCTTTTAAAATCAAATAAAAATCAAAGAAATTAATGGAGGGATATATTTTGTGATGATTAGCTTTGATACACCTTAAAACACATTCCAAATTCGTGCAAGGGCCTATTCCAAGCAAGAATTCAAATTTGACACAAAAATGGAAAGTTGTTTCAATGGAGTTCATGGCATAATCTTAAACATGAATGCAAAGGCTTAATGACCATTATTTGGATTGATACACATTTCATTACTATATATACAAGCATTCCCAACCTCATTCAAAAAGGAGTGTGTGCAGAAACGGCCAAGAGCAAAACCAAAAATTATTCAAAAAGTGAGAGTTCTAAAACATAGTTGCGAGCATCTTAAGATCAAAACAAGCACGTGGCTAAAGCAACCTTTGCCAAGTCCTGAGGCTCATACCGCGCTGTAAGTTCTTCCCAGGTCCCTTATAATTTCCATATTATTTTCTTCAACGTTTTCCTGTGCAGATTCCAATATGAGGTGCATCATAAGTCCCACTTCCCAGCGCTGCCATATGTCATCAACGCAGATCCAAAGGACAAAAAGTGTAGCACACCATGGTCTGGAGTCAAGCACGATGCAGGCAACCATGAAAGTCAAACGTGACTTAGATTTCAGTGGCCTTGGATTGCTTCAATAAACCTCCTATTTGGCCCACACACCCCTTGGTTTTACTTCTTTTTATTTTTTTGTTTTGTCATTTTCTCTTATTTTTAATTGCTAACCCTTTAATTATTTTTATTATTAACAATTAACTTAATTAGCACATTTTCATAAAAAAACCAAAAAATAGAATTAACATTATTATCATTATTATTATTTTATTTTGTAAATAAATATTAACCAAAATAGTTTAATTAGGCAATTGTAATTCCTTTTCTTAAATAATTAAAATAACTTAGATTTAGGATTAACTTTTAATTTTGTTTCTTTCATTTTTATTTTATTTCATAAAAACATAAAAAAACAAAAAAATATTTTCTTTTAATTAAAATAATCAATTAGTCATTAATTAGTTTTTAATTTCATTTAATTACCAAAAAGACCAAAAAAATCAATTTTCTTTTCTAAAAAGGGTCAACACCCTTAGAACATTCTGATTTAATTCGCGCACAGTTTATTATTATGTAATTGCTCCGGACATGTAATAGTAATTAGGACTTTACTATTTTTATTTACTTTCCGTACTCATTTACTAAAAAACGGGTCTTTGTAATTTTTGGCGATGTATAGACCCGCGCCTTGTAATAGCGTAGGATTTATTTTTTCGCAATTTACTTTCCGCACCCCTTAACTGTTAACTTGCATGAAAGAATGTATGTAAATAAAAACAACTCGTAGCTCACTAATTAACAAGACAAACATTAACTGAATACAACACACAAATACACACACCACTTCTAGGGTACGCCTCACTTGTTGCCTTCGAAACGTGGTCATCAAGTATAGGACGTCTTAGCGGTCCTTATGTCCATGATCCAGTTGCCTCGAAACAGTTGCCTCGAAACAGTTGCCTCGAAACAATTTCCTCGAAACGGTTGCCTCGGATTAAAAAAGGATCAAGGACATAAGGGTAGCTTCTAAGGTGTCATACTGTTGCTTCGGTGACCACAATGTCCCTACAATCGAATTGACCCGAACACCTCCAACGGTGGTGCTACCTACCTCTCAATGGTGGGATGGCACTACCTAAAGGACACTCACGCAACTTAATTCCTTAGGGTAGGTAGATGACTCATGGGTACTTGCTCTTTTAAAAAACAAACAAAATACTTTTCACACCTTACACTTTCAAAAGCTTTCAAAACAAATTTTTCAAACACTCTTGAGGACAGATACAAGAGTTATTCAGAAATATTTCAAAGAAACTTTTTCAAGCCCACTCACATTTTTGAAAAGCAAACATTTTGAAAACATAAGAGCAAGTACCTAAGAGCCCATGGATAACCATGGATAGAAAGGGTGCTAACACCTTCCCTTTCTATAAATCTACCTCCCGAACCGAGAAACGTTCTCATAAGGAATTTTGCTGTGCTTTTGTCCTTTCCATGTTGGAGAAAATAAAAGACGGTGGCGACTCTTGCTTACCGCGACATTTCGCGAAACCAGCACTAAAAAACAGTCAGTTCTATTTCCACCGATCACAGAACTGGCGACTCTGCTGGGGATACTTTAAAGTGAGGTGTACCTTAGGATAGCTCAGACTTATGTTTTCAATTGCCTGATTTGTGTGCTTTAAATTATTGGGCATGTCTTGGGAGTTTTATAGATCCTAACCCGGATCTGGGGGATACCTTCTTAGAAAGTAGCAACAAGGCTGTGAGGGAACTGTGCGGGGTATACCGACATGGTTGAAGCAGTCTGCTACGTTGATGTGGCACTTTGGTGAGTACCGGTAACCCTTGAGTCCAGTCAAGGAGAGTACGAGGCCGCCGCGTGGTGTCGTGAAGCATCAACTGACCTTAGGAACCTTAATTGAACCATCTTGGCCTCTTTAGGGTAGTGAGATAACTACTTTGGTGCAGTCCGAAGTTGGTTGATACTCGATGCTACACTCAGTTGAGGGTTGTTTTCTTGGGATATTTTGATCGCCAGTTCAGTGGCTAAATCTAAACGATGAACACAGAAAACAATCCAATGATATTGAGCTCCTTAGAACCCGGTTACTTTGATAGGACAGGTTTGAGCCCACCAACTTCAAGAGGGTAGTACCCCAAACTTCATGCTGGCCTAAACTCTAAGGGCTCTTTGTGTGACTTGTGTGCCTTTAAAACTTGACTACTTGCATACTTGTTATCTGACATTTGAGTTTCTTGCAGGTTTTGTT